ACTCTACAGATGTTCCAGTTGTTTGATAGAGATCCAGTGGCAATAAATAACACAGAAAAACTGAATATTGTAATCACCTTTTTTTCCCCCAGATATCACACAGTTGGGTCAATGAACTGATCGAGCACATTCCCCTGACCTTTAGCTTTAGACCTAACAGGCCCGTCGGCACCTCTACAGATCCCACATGTACCTGTACTCGGAGGAGTTGCCGGCCGACGAGGTGCTCAGGCTGCGGGTCTTCCTGTTGCGTCGAGCCAGGCTGCGGCCGCCGGACACCTCCCCTCCGTCGCAGGTGGAGCAGCAGTACGGGGCGGCCTCCACTCGCATCTCCTGTCCACCGTCCATCTCAGACAGCAGGTTCACTGACAAGACAAATCAATCGTTCATGGAGCCAGACTCAAATACAAACGAGTCATCAGTCTGTTTTACAGAAGCCTCCAGTTGGCCTGATTAGAGGGCTGTGCAGGAAACTTCACCCCACAGTCTCTGATTTGTGTTAACACTCGAGCCTCTCTGACAGGATCTAGTCGAGATGTGACCGGTCTGGATAAAGTGGTTTTTAATGTGGTCTGCGGTTGAACAAAGCAGCGTCATCTGCCTCGTAGCTCAGTCGGAGCACCTGCTTGAGTTCCTTGAAGACGTTCCACCTCTCATCCAAGAGGCTTCATGGGGTTCGTTTCCCATCCTGTCAGGGGGACGGGAGGAGCAACAAACCTCCAACTGAAACCCAAACTCAGGTGTTAACGTCTCCTTAAGGATATCAGTATGTGGAACTCCCAACTAGTCAGTCAGAGCTGATGAAGCCTCTTGGATGAGAGGTGGAACGTCTTCAAGGAACTCAAGCAGGTCCAGTTGCTACCATTAATCTACCAGAACAACCATGACCTGGATGAGGATCCTCACAGACGTGTAATCTGCCATTTTCACGTTCACAAATGTTCCACAAACGTTTGACAACTGTGAAAACGGGCTTCAGACACCAATAAGGGTTCACCTTAAACATCTAACACGACTTTACATCGATCAAATGTGGGACAAAGGCGAGAATGTGTGGCTTTGACCTTGTAAGTTAAAGGTGTGTAACACAGATCTGAGACCAGTTTAATGTGTCTACATGCAGCTAAAGCAGGAAAACCTCAGATTCTTTTGTTGTTGTTGCATTTTTATGATTAAAATAACAGTTCCACGCATTTAAAAGTGACTGTCAGACACCATTAAAGATAAAGTTACAGTTTTACATCATTTCACACCATTCAAATGTGGGTGAAAAAACAAACAAACAAAAAACTTCGCTGTAAGTTAAGTTTCCCTGAATTTGCTCCTGAAGTTTCCCTCAGATGTCCAGTTGGACGCGAACCTCTACAACAGCTCAGCCTGTTTAAGTCTCTGTACATTTATGTTAAAGTTTTGGAGACCTGTCACATTCAGAGGGACGTGCACCTTTCACCTAATCCAGATGCTGACCAGATGGTGATGGCTCAAGTTTTCCTGTCATGTGAGGTCACCGCTGGATGGAGGTAGCTCCAGCTAGCTTACACAGCCTCATAACTATGCTACACTGACGGAGGCTAACAGGGTCGGTACCACCACAGCTGGCTGTAAATCAGCAGTTTTCAACAAGTCTGAGTATTAAACGCCCCAACAACACCTACACAGACATAAGCCAATGGCACAATCCTCCCGGTGAGCTAACTAAGCTAATGCCGAGCTAGTTAGCAAGCTAAGCTAGCAGCTAGCCGTGCTCAACGCAAAGCGGAGCGTCGTCCGCCTCCGACACTACCTTTCAGCCACAGCGGTACAGAGGACGACACCGGGTCGGAGAGCAGCGGGCTGCCGTCGGATCAGAGCCTCGCCATCGTCAGGGGAAACAACAGCGTTACGCCACCTTACTCCACAAGTCAACAGTCAGCTCATCGCTTCCTGATACCGAGCGACCAATCACAGGCGCCCTCCGCCGTGACGTCATATCGGACCGACCTGTCAGATTGCATCACAGCAGCAGGAACAGCAGCGAGCTAATTACACCGTAATTACAGCATTATGTCACAGGCTTCAGCTGCATTTTAACCAAAGCTGCATCTGTTGCAGGAGACTGATGATGACCTGATGATTTACCATAAAGATCCTTCTACAGAGAACATGTCGGAAGTTCTATTTTTAC